GAAGTTAGAGAAAATTCCCTCAGAATTTAATCCTGCTGACATGGGTACTAAGTGTTTGCCTGCTGAAAAGTTTATATCGTGTCCAAGAATCTTGAATTTTGATTTTGGGTAATTTTGACTTTGCTTTGTTTGTTGCCTTTGTGGCCTATTAACTTGCTTTGTGCTTGTTAATAGCTTTGTGATTTTTCCCTTTGAACTCGATGACCGTTTGGTAGAGTTCGGTCCTTTGTGGACTTGGTATGCTTGGTGATCTTACCCCGATCTTTGTGATCTGAGTTTACTTAGTGTATTCTCTTCCATTGCTTGTATCCATACAAGTAATAATATGGCGATGATGAGTCCTGCAGTTCCATGTTTTTCCTCTGTGCACTACCTTGGGCCAAAGGTGGAGATTGTTGTTATTTTTTGTTGGCCCAAATAAGATGGCCCGTTACCAAATAGGCCCAGTTCCCTCTTCTCTTATCTGATGTGCCCTAGCCCCTCTCTTTTCCTCTCCTACCCGATAGTTCTAAATCTCCTCCGATCTCTGTGATCTGATGGTCGCCGCTGTGAGTCCCATCTCCCACTTGTGTAGGTCGGCTCCTAACCCTAGCTCTTCTCTCAGTGTCGGCTGCCCCCCTTTTCTATAAGACCGATGTTTCTCTGAAGGAAAGGGGGAAGGTAGTAGCTCTGTGAGAAGAAGAGGGAAGAAGAAGAGCTTTGTGCTCCTGTGAGCTTTGTGCGATCGATCATCCCCCCTTTACCTGAGTTTTGCGCTCCAAAGAGCTTTGTGCGAACCCCCACTTTCACCTCTGTGTGTGTTTGAGGGCCAGACCTGTACCCAAGCTTCCCTTGTGTTCTTGGTGGTGCACTAGAGAGGAAAACAGTGACTGATTTGAGCAGGTTTCTGAGCTGTGAGAAGAAGAGGGAAGAAGAAGAGCTTTGTGCTCCTGTGAGCTTTGTGCGATCGATCTTCCCCCCTTTACCTGAGTTTTGCGCTCCGAAGAGCTTTGTGCGAACCCCCACTTTCACCTCTGTGTGTGTTTGAGGGCCAGACCTGTACCCGAGCTTCCCTTGTGTTCTTGGTGGTGCACTTGAGGGCCAGACCTGTACCCGAGCTTCCCTTGTGTTCTTGGTGGTGCACTAGAGAGGAAAACAGTGACTGATTTGAGCAGGTTTCTGAGCGAGCTTCCCTTGTGTTCTTGGTGGTGCACTAGAGAGGAAAACAGTGACTGATTTGAGCAGGTTTCTGAGCCAACAACGACGAGATAAGATTCATAACAGATAGCATTTGCTTTCAAGGTCAGATCAGCATTATTGTTGCTGAAGAGTAGTTTTTGCTATGCCATTTCTGGTTCGATGAAGAATTGATAAACCTGAAATTAAATAAGAAAATTGAATCTTATTTTTTAGGAGTTGTGCAAATATTGACTTGCATTTTGGTATCTGTTCTATTTTGGTAATTGATAACAATTTGTACTTGACCTAGAATATTATTTGCATCTTAAATATTTCTCTGTCATGTTCCCTGGGTACATAACTATTCACTTGGTATCGTGATACTTTGCCGTGTCATTTCTGATTCAAGAAAAGAGTAATGAATTAGTGCTTACTTCTTTTAAGTTTTAGTTCTTTTTGTTGGCTTATGACTTAAACAAGGATACTTGATGAGGAGTGATGCAAAATGTCAGTTTGCATCTTGGTTCATGTATTATTAATCATTTACTAGCCTGAATTTTACATTTCATAAAATTTCCTATTTGCTCTGTGTTTCTCCATGTTTTTCAGTACAAGATCGTCATAAACCCTGTTTAGAATCTGAGTTGACCTATGTTGTGGGATTTTTCCTGAGCTATTGGTTGTCTCAGAACCAGTAGTTCTCAGCCAGTTCATAGTTATGTTTAGTGATTGGAATTAGTATCTCAAACTCCTTTATCTCAAGAATAGTATCTCAGTTTTCTTCGGATTTATTAATTCAATCCCCTCAACCCCCACCCCCACCCTTTTTTTTATTTTAAGAAACATCTAAGGAGCATAATCTCGTAAGCAAACTCCAGAAAGGAGAATTCTCGCCGTATTTGAATTTCTCCTTGTTATAGTTTCATTATAACATGTAAATGCTAGAAATGCTTGCCTCCCTCTTAACTTGGGGTCATTTCTTATATTTTAAACCGAAACATGGAAAGGGTCATTTCCTATATTTTAAACTGAAATCTGAAAACTTCCCTAATTTCATCATACTTTCTCAGTTAAAAAAAAAGTTGAAGAAGAAGAAGAAGAAGAAGAAAAAGAAGAAATTTGCGTTCTGGAAGATTCCCTCTCTCACTTATCTACTAACATACAGAATATACAAGAATAACAACACATTCCCAAAATTTCTGCATCCCTAAACTTTATAACAGATTATATGAATATCCCACCACTCCAAAAAAAAAAAAAAATCTTTTGACTTGACCTATTTGTATTTGCCCTAATACTATTGACATAATTTATTTTCATTTGGTGTGTGAACTGTCAGGTACTTAAAAAGGAGGCAGTTATATCTGATTCAAACTATTTGAACGTCTTTTAGTTTATTAGATGATGGTTGGATATAGTATCCACGACATTGAAGAAAGTTTTGATAAACGGGTTAATCGGGTTATATGGGTCGGGTCGGATAATCCGTTTAATAAACGGGTCGAATCACGTTAACTCATTTATTAAACAGGTCGGATCGGATCATATTTATACAGAACGGGTCAACTATGACCCGACCCGACCCGATTGGCACCCCTAGCGGCAGCCAATAGTCATGGACACCTATCTCCAATTCTCCATCCTGTGGTTCCTGCTTCTCTGAAAAAAGCTGCTGCCCTCTCTTCAGCCTCTCATTCTCTCACTCTCCTCTTCCCTCTCTTTGGCAAAACAGTCGCTCTTCTTTCTCTTCTCAAATTTTGGGAGGAGGAAGAAAAAGAGAGAGAAAAGTCCTGCTATCAAATATCTCAATAAGAAAGCAGTTTCAGCTTCTGGGTTTTCTCTCTGAATCAAGATCCCCTTTTGCCAACTGGGTTTGTTTTATCTCTTGTATTTTCCCTTCACCCTCCAGTGAACAGCTAGCATCTCCTTGGAACCACAACTCAAGATCAGATTTTGACACTTGGGTTCTCTTCTTCCTTCAATACCCCATGGCTACCTACATGCTCAATGGAGCTGAGAGCCTCTCAATCCTTAGCACGAAATCCCCCAAGAAATTGGGCTTTTTGGGCTCTTCTCTCGATGGAAAATCCCACCCCAAGATGGGATTTTCCCCCTTGAAAACTCAAAGAAGCAACAAATCAATTGTACCCAGATGCAGCCTCTCCTCATCAAGGCCAGCTTCTCAGCCCAGATTCATTCAGCACAAGCAAGAGGCTTTCTGGTTCTATAGATTTCTTTCTATAGTCTATGACCATGTTATAAACCCTGGGCATTGGACTGAGGATATGAGGGATGAAGCTTTGGAGCCTGCTGAGATCTATGATGCAAGGATGAAGGTTGTTGATGTTGGAGGAGGAACTGGGTTCACAACTTTGGGGATTATTAAGCATGTTTACCCTAAAAATGTGACGATTCTTGATCAGTCTCCTCATCAGCTTGAGAAAGCTAGGCAGAAGGAGGCACTGAAAGAGTGCACTATCATTGAGGGTGATGCTGAGGATCTCCCCTTTCCTACTGATACTTTTGATCGATATGTTTCTGCTGGAAGGTGAGATTTTGATGGTTTCTTTATATTTTGAGATGGATTTTTGTTTTATGCTGTATTCATTTATTTAATACCTGTTATTATCTTTTTATAGTCAATTAATTGCTGTATTGTTCAACTCTGATCCATATATATTAGCTAAAATGCAACAGTCTACTGATTGTTAGACAATTAGATAATTTTTGCGAGTTAAAATTGTTTTGTACCAACAATGTGTGCGCCCTATTTGTCGGTATTACCAAGTTTAAGAACGAGGCTCAAAAATTAACTCCTTATAATTTGTACCCTGATGAAGAATTATCTTCGGTATGGTTTAACATATCTATTTGTATATTGTGGCTCGTGCCACTTCTATACTATTCTGAAACTTTGAGTGTGATTAGTTTCCTATGTTTCGTATTCTTAACTTGCTATATCTCAATCAAATTCTCTTTGATGTTACCGCAATTGCACATAATTTTACAGCAAACTATCCCTTTGTTCTTTCTAATTGATATATTATTCAGTATTGAGTATTGGCCTGATCCACAACGAGGAATCAAGGAAGCGTACCGTGTACTAAAACTTGGAGGAATAGCTTGTGTGATTGGTCCTGTATATCCAACATTTTGGCTCTCTCGATTCTTTGCTGATATGTGGATGCTCTTCCCTAAGGAAGAAGAATACATTGAATGGTTCAAAAAGGCTGGATTTAAAGATGTGAAACTGAAAAGAATTGGCCCCAAATGGTATCGTGGTGTTCGTAGACATGGTTTAATTATGGGTTGCTCTGTGACTGGTGTTAAAAGAGTATCTGGGGATTCTCCTCTTCAGGTATTTTTTTTTAATATCTCATTATGCATTTTTTTCACGTATGTTGTTAGAATCTTTTTTTTTTAAGTTAACTCAAAACTTACTACCGTCAACTGACAAATAGTAGAAAAATGATCATCATATTGTCCTGTTTCCATCATTGGTTTAACTTCTTTCTGATAATTGGTTAGTACATATCTTAGATCACTCTCTCTCTCTCTCTCTCTCTATATATATATATATATATATATATATATATATATTTTTATAAGCAATGAAAATAAAGATTACAACTCTTGTCAAACAGCGCAACGGACGTTTATCACCCGCTGCTTGTGTGAGTTCTTTACCTGTGCCGAGGACGTTAATATCCGTGGATCACCGCGGATCAGATCCGGTTAGCAGAAGTTGGATAATTAATGCTCTCACTTCACAAAGGAAGTAATTACAGTAACGGTGATTTTGACTAAGCAAAATCACGGCTCTTCTCGGGATTTAAGACCAAGCTTAAATGCGGAGGAATAAGGGACATGTCTCAGATCTCTCGAACTCCACTCTTTATGCACAGGAGATCGTCAAGATCTGCTAACCCTTGCTGTAAATTCGTGGCTCCACTCTCCAATTCGGCAGCGCTTCGCCCTCTTGATCTCCTCCTCGAAAAATGAACACCCGAGCCCCTATTTATAGGCTTAGTTGGCGGTTTTCTTGGATCAAAACGAGGGATTCCCTCTATCTTCAGTTAGCAACTATCTAACAACAATATCAAAGCAGTTGGAACCCCAAATCCCGAAAGAATCCATAAAAGAACCGAAAATTCGAATTTTGGCCGAACAATCACCCGGCCCTGGCTGGGCCACCAAATGGTGGCTCGGCCTTGGCCGAGCCACCATTTGGTGGTTCGACCACCGAGTCACCTTCTGGTGATCTGGCTTTGGGCCGAGCTTGTATGTTTCCTGACTTTTTCGATTTTCCGGGACTTGTAGTTTTCCCCCGTTTCGCGTGATTGATCATCTTGTTGACTTGCACGCTTCATTGCGGGATTGACCGTTGAACGCGCACGAACTGATTGACGCGCACGAACTGATTGACGCGCGCGTGTTGATTGATGCGCGCGAGCTGATGCGCGTGTTGATTGACGCACGCGGACCACTTGGTTCGTCGTTTCGCTTCATGCGCTTGTCGACGACAGATAATCCTCTTAGACTCGGATAACGACGTTCATCATCTTCTCTCCGTCTCGAGCTGTACGTGGATACCTATAGGCATTTTTAGACGCCTACAGATACCCCCTTCAAAGTATTTCAGACTCATTCTTTTATGGAGGAGTCTGGAATGCTTTGGATATGATAGTCTCCCGCCTTTAGTCGGTGTCAAAGGACCTGTGAACTGTTTTAATTCTTAACTTCCTCAGCCTTCAGTCTATCCAGTGCTTTGTCGAATAAATGAAGGTCTTCCCGCGCTGCGTTTATCGTCTGACCGTTGTCGAAGTCTTGAATCAGAATTGGTGAGTTAGTTTTGGCTCGTGCCATTGAGTTAACTTTGAACTGATTATCTTTGTCGCAACGCGTTGACCGGCGTTAACACAGTTTATACTCGTACGTTTACTGGAGTCTACACAGTTTAAGCTCTTAAGGCATTGGAGCGTGGCGATCCCAAATTTTAGGCTGCAGGACCAACTATTAAAGTTGTTTCGTCTGCAGATATGGATCTTATCCCGAAGTCGTTGGATGCTTAAGTCACGAGACCAAATAATGGGGCTGGTGCGTCAATGACTTTCGCATATATAGGATTTTTGGTAAACTCTCAGTCATCAACGGGTTTGATGAGCCTTTACCGGCTACCGTTTGAGTCGGGCTAGCATGCGGATTGTTTAAGTCTGTTCCACATATGACGTTATGCTAGAAGAGTTAACTCTTTTAGTGCTACGATATTGAATACTTAGACTTCGTCTTTCTTACGGGATTAGACTACCCGGCAACGCGTGTTAGACGCTGACTTAGGATTTTTGGCAAATCCTCAGCCTTCAACGGATTTGACGTGCCTTTACCGATTACCGTTTGAATCGGGCTTGCATGCGGATTGTTTAAGTCCGTTCCTCATGTGACGTTGTGCTAAGAGAGTAAACTCTCTTCGTGCTATGATATTGAATACGTAGACCTAGTCTTTCTTACGGGAATAGACTACCCGGCAACACGTGTTAGGCGCTGACTTATCCCTACTTAGGCTTCGGGATAAAAGTCCCCAGACTCGGATTCTGGTGTCTTCTTCAAACGGTGAAAGACTAAACCGGCAACGCGTGTTAGACGTTGACTTATCCCTTCTTAGGATTTGGGATAAAATTCCCCGTGCGTGTAAGGCACGGATTTTGGTGTTATTAATAACAATCTGTCACAATATCGAACATGTGGGCTTTTATCCTTTTTACAGTAAAAGACTGACCAGCAACACGTGTTAGGCGTTGACTTATCCCTACTTAGGATTCGGGATAAAATTCCCCGTGCGTGTGAAGCACGGATTTTGACGTTATGAATAATAACCTGTCATAATGTCGAATATGTGGGCTTCTGTTCTTTTTACGGTTAAGAACTAACCGGCAACGCGTGTTAGGCGTTGACTTATCCCTACTCAGGATTCGGGATAAAATTCCACATGCATAAAAGATATGGATTTTTGTTGCTACGATGCTGAATACGTAGACTTGGTCGTTTTTACGGGAACGAACCACCCAGCAACGTGGGTTAGGCGTTGACTTACCCCTACTTAGGCTTCAGGATAAAATATCCCAGACTGGATTCTGGTGTCTTTTTCAATCGGTGAAAGACTAAACCGGCAACGCGTGTTAGGCGTTGACTTATCCCTACTCAGAATTCGGGATAAAATTTCCCATGCATAAAAGGCATGGATTTTTATTGCTACGATGCTGAATACGTAGACTTGGTCGTTTTTACGAGAACGAACCACCCAACAACGCGGGTTAGGCGTTGACTTATCCCTACTTAGGCTTCGGGATAAAATGCCCCAGACTGGATTCTGGTGTTTTTTTCAATCGGTGAAAGACTAAACCGGCAACGCGTGTTAGGCGTTGACTTATCCCTACTCAGAATTCGGGATAAAATTTCCCATGCATAAAAGGCATGGATTTTTATTGCTACGATGCTGAATACGTAGACTTGGTCGTTTTTACGAGAACGAACCACCCAACAACGCGGGTTAGGCGTTGACTTATCCCTACTTAGGCTTCGGGATAAAATGCCCCAGACTGGATTCTGGTGTTTTTTTCAATCGGTGAAAGACTAAACCGGCAACGCGTGTTAGGTGTTGATTTATCCCTACTCAGGATTCGGGATAAAATGTCCCGTACGTGTGAAGCACGGATTTTAGGAGTTTGGAAATGTGATGTCTTCTCCTAGGGTAAAGACGGACCCGATGCGGGAGAGGAAGAATTTTATATTCTATCTCCCAAAGCTGAAGAGGAAGAATTTTATATTCTAGGAAGAATTTTATATTCTATCTCCCAAAGCTGAAGAGGAAGAATTTTATATTCTATCTCCAGTTGAAAAGGAGACTCGAGGTGGGATCTCCACCCCCAGAATCCGGAAAGGTGAAACTAGGAGTGAGATCTCCACTCCGAGAATCGAAAAATTCAGATAATCTTAATTGTCAGAAGATTTGATTACCGAACTAAAGGTGAATTTCTCGTTTATCGAGAGTGAATTGTGGTTTTGGTCTTTACTGTAGGAAGGTTTGATCAAGTGGGAGTTTAAGGTGATCCTAACTGTAGAAAGGTTTAATCACTCAATTTGAGAGTGAACCTCTCGTTCATTGGAAGAATCGAAAGGGGATTTTGGTTTTGACCCTAACTGTAGGAAGGTTTGACCGAATGGGAGGCTTGAGACGATCCTAACTGTAGGAAAGTTTGATCGCTCGATTTGAAAATGGACCTCTCGTTCATCGAAGGAATCGAGAGGGGATTTTGATTGTGGTCCTAACTGTAGGAATGTTTGACCAAGTAAGAGTGGGAGTGTGAGATGACCCTAACTTTTATAGGTTTGATCACTCGATTTGTGGACCTCTCGTTCATTGAAGGAATCGAGAGGGAATTTTGACTGTGGTCCTAACTGTAGGAATGTTTGACCAAGTGGACAGTGGGGGTGGGAGTACAAATCATAGTGAGAGTGTTAACTTATACAAATCACTCGGTAGGGGTTCTTGATGTTAAGTGATAAGGACTTAACGCGAAGGGGTTTGACAATTCATTAAGGATTGACAGATCAAAATTCTAAGCATTATATCCGGACTCTAACCATGAAAGTATTGAGTGCACGAACATAGCGGAAGTTTGAATGGATTAAACAGGACAGAATTTTGGTGGTCCTACCGTCAATTAGTCTGATCGGTGGGGGATTTTGTGGTGGAAGACTATGAGTCGTTAAACACCAAAGAGAGTTTTGTGAGGAAAGATTGATCCAACGAAGTGATCGAATCTCGTCTCAGCAAAAGAGTGTTCAGAAATCATAATAGGAGTTTAGTGTTTATCACTTTGTTCATAATGATCGGGTTACCCCTAAGAACATTACATTTAACATTCTTCCGGGAACTTCCCGTTATATGAATTATCCACCCTCAGCTTTCTTTGTAAAACTGGGTGTAACGAGGAGTACGTTATCCTCAGTTGCATGTTCGGGTTATCCTTAAGAATATAAGATTCTTCAGGAACTTCCCGTTACATAAATCATCCACCCCCAGCTTCCTTTGCGAAACCGGGTTTAACATTGTACTTAGTTGGATGACCGAGAAGCAGTTTATACTCGTATACTCTTTGGAGTGTCAGAAGGAGTATTCATTCGGCTTAATTGAGCGATATAACGCCGGCTTCAACCAAGGTTTGGATACTATTCTTGAGAGCAAAGCAATCCTTAGTGGGATGAAGGATCCTCCTGTGATACGCACAGTACTTTGGATACGTAGTATTGTCAGTTTCCTCCTGATTGACGATAGGTGGTAGCTTGATCTTATTATTT